TTTTTTGGCATGTGCCTTAGAGATCAATTTAGTTCCATTTTAAACCAAGCATATGTTGACTAAATGAGGCAGGGCTACTGGAGACTTCGTAAAAAGGAGATGGGGAAATTCAGTTCTCAGCAATATTTCCTTTTCTCTCTCTCGCTGTGAGCATAAAACTATCAGAAATAAGATTTCAGAGTCCAGAGAGAGTTAAACGGTTACATTAAAGACTGCTTAATGAAGCTGAACTATTGTATATTGCAAAGAATCAAAATCTAGTTTATGCTTGTAAAGAAAATTTTGAAAAAGCTTATTTACTTTTCTCACTGTTTAAAATTTCTATTCAGGTCAGTGGCAATAGATCAATTTTCCCCATTTAGCATTTTTTCACCCAGTTCATTCAGCTTATAGAAACAAGCTATTTTTTTTCCTCAATTCATAGAATATAACCCTAACAGCTTCAGCTAGAGCACAAAAATGAATTACATTTTTCATATATTTATGTTATTATTTAAATTTAATTCAGATGTTTGTTTCCATTCAACTCGTATGTGATTTTCCAACTAAATTTTGCCTATGTAAGTTAGTAAAAGGGTAACATCAGAAAATTTATCTATGATTAAGCTATTATCACTGAGAACTCTAGTGTATGTCTATAAACCCAGCTACTCTGGAGGCTGAGACAGGAGAATTGCCTGACCTTGGGGTGTGGAGTTTGCAGCGAGCTGAGATCGCACCATTTTTATACATAGTGATTTCAATAAGCTATGAAAAAAGTAATAATTAGAAATAAAGAGTGGTGACTAATATCTGTAAGTATGTTAAATGTTTGATCATGGACAATTAGTAATTAGTGTTGTCAAATTCTTAAATAAAGTATAGTAAAATATATATTTAAGACAGAATATATGAACACAAACACTTCTGTCCACATTTAAGACTTCCTCTTTTCTAAAGGAAAATTAATGCCAGAAAGATGAAATATATAGTCAGTCAAAGTATTAATGCTGTCTTTAGAATCTGTAATTATCTCTGTCCATTTGTTATCTCACTAATCTGATTTAAAATTATGTTTGTGAAACAAATTGATAATTATATTTATAAGAATCTCCCTAATAGCATTATATTTTGAGATATGTAAACAACTTTTCTCATGGTATGAATGTTTGTAGAAACAACCAGCCATGGCTTTCTAAAAATATTTTCATAATGGGGTAACTTTGATTTGGGTTGAAAAAATACAGAATTCCTCAAAGTTTAGAGTACACAAATAGCTGCAATTATTGTTGTAAGATCCTAATAGGAAAGGATTAGGTAGTTTTCTTGTTTATTTGGTTATTTGTAGGAAGAAGCAGCACAAGTAGCACATAGATTAAGAACATTAACTTTAAAACTATCAATGAAAGGCTGGACACAGTGGCTCAAGCCTTTAATCCCAGCACTTTGGGAGGCCAAGGCAGGCAGATCACCTGAGGTCAAGACCAGGTTAACCAACATGGAGAAACTCCATCTCTACTAAAAATAAAAAATTAGCCAGGTGTGGTGGTACATGCCTGTAATCCCAGCTACTCTGGAGGCTGAGGCAAGAGAATTGCTTGAACCTGGGAGGCAGAGGTTGCAGTGAGCCAGGGTTGCATCATTGCACTCCAGCCTAGGTAACAAGAGTGAAACTCCATCTCAAAAAAAAAAAAAAAATCAGTGAAAAAGATTACTTTTTTACTGTTACTGTTTTTGCTGTTAAAAATATTATCTATTGAGTAGTCTCTGTACATATATAAATATTTGTACACTTCACTATTTTTTAAAATTTGTTGTCCTGACACAGCTAAGACAAAAGTGGTATTTAGTCCTATTGACAGTCAAAGAAACTGAGCTTCAGAAACACTAATTTCCTTGCCCAAGGTCAAAGAAATATTAAAAGAAATGAATAAATTGCACCTCCAACCAAGGCCATATGACTTCAGGGCCTATATCTTAACCACTATTCAGATTTAACTTAGTAAATTGTATCTTCATAATTCATAAAATTGATTCTTTTTTCAAATCACTAGGATTGCCATCAGCCAGTTATCTTAAATTTTAAACTTAATTTGAAATCAGTTTTAAAAAGTGCTTTATATTACATCAACTCTATTATTAAGCTTCATACTTCTTTTGAAGCATATTGATCCTTTGACATACATTAATTTACTTTATGTTTTAAAAATATCTACTTATTCCCTGCTTTGTGCCAGACATTTTGCTAAGCCCTGGTGGCAAAACATGGCTTTCTGGGTATTACAGCTAGCATATCGTATATTCAGTTTATAGAATGTCTGAGCTCAATGACAATATAAATAAAACAAAAGGTTCATTTGTCTATATTAATTCAAATTTCCTTTTTTGGCCCTGGATATTTCAGGCAGATCTCTACACTTTTTCAGTGACTTCCAGTGTTCATTTTACCTGGTAATTTAAACTCACTTTTAAGTATTAGAATGAGCAGTCAAGTAAAATATCAGATTTTATATTACGTAATTCAAAGCTTCTTTTATCCCTCAACTCAGGCTCAGATCTTGGCCTAATAACATAAGGCAGGAGAGAGTGGAAATAATTGTTTTTGTTTTATATTCTACTTTCCTTTTTTCCTCATCTTCCCATAGTTCCAATTTTGGAAATTAGGAAGATTTTTTTTTTTTAACCATTGTAGTTTTCATTTGGCAAACACCAGCTTCTGGCCAAATGCTAGCTCTGTTGTGAAACAGACTTGTGAGCTCTTTGGAGCATTTTTCCACCAGCTCTGGACTATTGTACTGTAGACACGAGTAGTATAACTGCTAGATAATCTCTTATAACCCCACTCAGCTCCAAATCCCCAATCCACAGGTTCCATTCCCCGACTTTTTTGTGCTGGAACCAGCCTTCCCTGCCAAGCAGTTGTCATCTGATCACCTTTCTAGTGATCACTTTGCCAACTTTCTAACTTCTGACTTTTCATTTCATAGAAATTGATCACTAATCTTTATTTACACAGCTGTCTGCCCACAGACTTCAGAAAAATAACGTCACTGTCTCTCATCAATTTTTTCACTATACTTCAGTTTATCCTAGTGTTTATCAAAAACTAGGTAGTGAAATCAATGTATTGGGTTTCACTACTTAATAAATTTTATACCTTATTATGGGTTAGAATGGGATGGGATGGGATGGGATAGGATGGGATGGGATGGGATGAGATGGGTTAAGATAGGATAGGAATAGAATTAATAGAACAAAGCAAAGATAAATTTTAATTCAGTTACACACACACACACACACACACACACACACACACACACACACACACACATTGGTGTTTATCCTAGAGTCATTACTTAAAATCTGTTTCATATTAAAGTCAGAGTTTAAAAAAATCTGAAAGCCCTAGCACTGGTCCCATGAAAGCCCTGGTCCTTGTGGTTATGCAGCGTAATCAGCTTCCAGCCAGGGAGTGAGATGCTGACCTTGCCTCTTTCAAGCAACTCAACTAGGAATTGATTATCTTAGGGCACTCCACACTGGGTTTGCTGGATGGTACCGTCTTCCCCTTTGCCCCATAACAACACTCCCCCTCAAAAACTCTATTCAATATTTTTTAAGAAAAATACTCTAATGTGCTTTTATGAAAAATCTGAAAATAGGTGATGGATATTGATAGTTACTGGACCAGTTTTGGTGTTTTTTTCAATAAGCGTAGTATGGCTATAGTACTCTCAGATTTGAGTCTACAACCTAGATTCTAAAACAACAAGAATAATTTCTTTCAAGTGGCATTATGTTTGGTCAACATAAATTCAGAAAGTCTCCATGGATATTTTTATACTTTGTTTCTGAAATCATTTTAACCTGAAATTGAGTCTCCTTGAAAGCAATGTAATAGTTATGTTATTATATTGACTAATAATCAGTAATAATTTTCAAAATACAAGCTTCCCTGTTTCTTATTTTAATCAAGTGCTTTTGCTTCCCCATATGATTGTTCACGTGCCATGCAGGGGATAAGACATTGAACCTCTCCACACCTGATAGCCATTGCCATTGTCAGGGAACCAAATTCCATGTGGCCCTCATGGAGTTCCTATCTCCTTCCAGCATATAGCTATACCTCCTAAGCCATAATCAGAAAGCACTGGGAAAGGGAGGCAAATCCCTCTCTCCCAGTGATATGAGGGCTCTCCCAAACACTTTGAAAGACCAAACAATCTCAGGAAACAGCAGGAGCTACTTCCTCTAAATAAAGAATGTTTCCAGTAGGCCTCTTTTTGCACAACCCAAAACTCTGAAAACAACCACCAATGGCCTCCAGATACACCCAGTTCTTTCTCTGCCCAGTCTTTGCATTTTCCTTTGTGTCTCCATGTGCCAAGCACATTCCCATGCCTCCAGCACTGCTTTACTTGTTTGTAGCTCTATCCCCAACTTCGTTTTTATGTTACAGATATTGCAAAGTTTCCATTTCTTTGTGACAACTCTTTCCTGCCTGACGCAAGCTTTCATTGAGCCCTCTGTTACCAACCCAATTCAACTTTGGTCCCACCAACAGACAACTTTGACATTTCTTTCTCACAAAGGTTTGGAGGTATCATTTGGATGGTGAGGCCAGGAGACCACTCTGTGCCTGAGTAACAGCTCAGTGGTTGTTGCCTGTATGTCGGTTTAGGGTGGAGAAGTTTGTTTATTGAAGAGATACTAACAAAATTATGAGGAAGAGGTGAGTTGACAATCTCTCGGCCACCTCTTAGAAATTCCCTGAGTTTTGCTGCAAAACAGATGTCTGAGGTTTCATCTACACTTTTCTAAAGCTACATACACATCAGCTTGGAAACTATTTCTTAGGCATTCTGAACAAGCAAGTAGATGGCGTTGCTCAGTATCAAAGCCGGCTCCACCTTGTGCTGTGGCAAAGGACTGATATTTAAAGGGGAGCAAATGGGATTTGTACTCCAGAATCATCCGTTTGTAATTTCTTTACCTATGCAATAAACATTCTTCCCCCATAGAGCCATGCAAGGAAGACAGTTTTCAATGTGACAATGGAGAGTGTGTTCCACTGGTGAATCTCTGTGACGGTCGTCTGCACTGTGAGGATGGCTCAGATGAAGCAGATTGTGGTATGTCTTATTTTTAGGAAAATACTCATCACGTTAGCCTCTGCATTTAGATTCTACAGTGTAAAAGAAATATTACGAGTGTGTTTATTAGGACCTGTTTTGATGCTTTGAAATGAGAACATCTCATCTCTGAGATGATTTTAGCACCTCCGCCCCCATCTGGTTAGGATAAAAGTTAATATGCAGACCTCAGTTTATTGTTTGTTTCCATTTTGCCACACTTAATAACTGGAATTATAGAGACACCAAGATTCATATAGGAAGCCTGGACTACCACAAGGACACTATTCCAGACCAAGCAGGCCAGCACCACTCATATTGGCTACTGTGGTCTCTTCATTGCCTACATTTGGAGGCACCTGCATGCTCACTTATAACTCGCTTTCTCTCCCTTCCTTGCTGAGTTGTCAGTCCAGCTCCCCTTCCAGACCACAATAACATTATGAATGATGGATATTTTTATTATGTCTTTTTATTTGCACCGTAACTACGTTTTAAAAAATCTACAATAAGAATTAGCTATAGTTGGCCAGACAAGGTGGCTCACACCTGTAATTCCATCACTTTGGGAAATCGAGGCAGGCAGATTTCCTGAGGTCAGCAGTTCGTGACCGGCCTGGCCAACATGGTGAAACCTTGTCTCTACCAAAAATATAAAATTAGCCAGGTGTGGTGGCAGGTGCCTGTAATCCCAACTACTCAGGAGGCTGAGGCAGGAGAATTGAGAATCACTTGAACCTGGCAAGCGGAGGTTGCAGTGAGCTGAGATTATGCCATTGCACTCCAGCCTAGGCAACAAGAGCAAAACTCCGTCTCAAAAAAGAAAAAAAAAAAAAAAGAATTAGCTATACTTTAGCCATGAGGAAACTATGGTTTGGAAATGGTAAGTTGCTGCCAAAGGTCACACATCTAGCACCTAAGTTTGTATAATTCTATCGTCACTGCTCTTAACTCTTGTCATAATAGAAGAAAAGTGTAAACAATGTAGCATTATTTTATAGAATTACAACATACTGTTTGCAGGTAAGACTGCAGTTGCTGATATTTTCCTCCTCTGATGAAGTCCCTTAGCTCGGTCCAGTCCCTACCTGGCCACTAATGGCCTTAACATTCCATTCAAATTGGTTGTAAAGTGATGAGTAAGGTGATAGAAAACAAAGTACAAAGAAAATAGTTTTGGAGGGGTGGGAAGGGAATTCCTAAAGTTAATTCCTAAACTTGAGTTTCCTACTTTCAGAAATTACGTTTATAAGATATACTCTTCACATATAACTTTATTTTCTGTTTATTTGCTGTATAGATGTGTAATAAACTTGCATATCTCTGCTTTTTCCATTTTTATAGTTATATAAAAGAGCAAAATTGTCTACTAAATTTCTATTTTTCAAATTAGACCTTCCATCATGCTCTTAGGAAAAACAACAATCAATCTCTAAACTCAAAATGTTAAGAACATTACACAATTAGTTTAGAGGACATAATTTACTCTTATCAATTTAGGTCAAAATGGCCACCTGTATAATCTAATCTCTTTAATGCATCTCTTTTTGTTAGTTTTTCTAAAAAATTTGCTGTAAATTTGAAATTTTTAATTCTATATATTTATGAGGTATGTGATATTATTATGTATAATGTATGTATATAGATTGCATATAGAGAGAATGTATATATATAAAAGGTATGTATATGTGGGTGTGTGTGTGTGTATATATATATATATATATAGAAAGAGAGAGAGAGAGAGAGAGAAATAAGGAATTATTCAATCATGCAAATTAATTTATCCATCACCTTAAATACTTATCATTTTTCATGATGGGAAAATTTGAAATTTCACAATTTTACGTAATTTTGAAATATACGACACACTACCTATAATCACAGTGCTGAGTGAGAGATCTCAAAAAATTACTCCTCCTGTCTAACTGAAGCTCTGTACTCTTTGAACATTTGTCCAACGTCTTCCCATTCATTCTCCCCGCCCTTCAGTCTCTGGTAACCACCATTATACTCTCCGTTTCTTTAGTGCGTTTTCTCAATGGCACAATGAACAACAATGGTTTAGTGCAGTTCCAAATCCAGAGCATATGGCATACAGCTTGTACTGAGAACTGGACCACCCAGATTTCAAATGATGTTTGTCAGCTGCTGGGCCTAGGGTAAGTAATTTTACTGAGTTCCCTTTTAAGAGATTCTCAAGCTTTTTTATTACTATCAAATTAGGTTTAGTAAGAACTTTAAAATTTATAAAAGTTATGAATTTAGAAAATACACATTGGCAAATGGGAGAAAACAAAAATCTTGATTAACCTCATCCTCAGATAATAACCAATGCTAATAACCTTTGTATTAATAGTACATACATATAAGTAAAAATTACATAAAACATGCTCTGTCATGCAAAATGCTTATATGTAAGCATTTCTCATGTTTTTATAATTTTTAGGTGATTATGCTTAAGAAAATGAATTATTTCATTTATGCTATATCATAATATACATAAACAATCACAAGGTACTACAGAGAATATGCTTCTGCTATATCTTTGCCACACATTTACAATAGTTTTTTTGAAAAATCTATAGAGGTACTATTGTAATGCGAGAGGTTATGCAAAAGTTGTAAAATATTTTAAAAATTAAAAGTTTTCCATAACCTCTCCTCCTGCAATAGCACTTCTATAAATTTTATATTATAGGATAAAGAAGGATATTCTCACGAAGGATGATCCAAGTAAAAATACCAATTAATAGCTCATCAAAAATGCATTATACTTCCCAGTCTAATGCCATAATATATTTCATCAAATATGTGATTTTACCATATTTGTTTTTTACCTTCCCACCAAGTCTTAAAACTACTTAGGTAGAAAATGAAAGTAATGAGAAGTAATAATATACTTATTTTGCATTTCACAACCTGTCAACTTTAACTCACCATTCTGATTCTTAAGCATATATGATTTTGAAGATTAGTGATTACCAACCATGTTGGCTCACATGTGGTTATCTTTATAACTTATAATACCATCTCATTTAAAGTTTGTTTAAATGAGACCTCATATTAAACCATGAGGTCTATAAAGGAAAGAATCGTGTCTATTATATATATTATTGCAATGGTAAAATCTAGATTATTATTTGTCTTTAAAATTCAGTGCCAAATAAACAGTCAATTATAAATGTATTCTATGTACATGTAAATATAGACACACCTATCTATAAAAACATATGCCAAAAGTATCTAATTATAAAACATATGCTTTTCTCTTAGGTTGATTCCAAATATTGGCTATTGTGAATAGTGCTGCAGTAAACATGGGAGGGCAAATATTCTCTTTGATACAGTGATTTCCTTTCTTTTGAATATATGCCCAGCAGTGGAACTGCTGGATTATATGATAGTTCTATTTTTAGTTTTCTAAGGAGCCTCCATAATGTTCTGAATAGTGTACCTAATTTATATTTTCCCCAAGAGTCTAACGGGGGTTATTCTTCTTCCACATCCTCACTAGTGTCTCTTACAGCCGCTCTCTTGATAAAAGTTATTTTAACAGGGGTGAGAGATATCTCATTGTGGTTTTGATTTGCATTTCTCTAGTAACTAGTGATGGGGAAAATTTTTTCATATTCTGTTGGCTATTTTTATGTCTGGTTTTGAGAAATGTCTGTTTAAATAAGTTACCCATTTCTAAAATCAGAATATGTGCTTTTATTTCTTGTCAATATGTTTGAGCTCTTTATACATTTCGGTTGTTAAGTGCTTGTCGGATGGATAGTTTGGATGTATTTTCTCCCATTCTGTGGATTGTCTCTTCACTTGGTTGTTCCCTTTGCTGTGTAGAAGCTTTCTAGCTTGATGTGATCCCATTTGTCCATTTTGACTTTGGTTTCCTGTACTTTTATGGGCTTACTCAAGCAATCTTTGTCCAGACCAATGTCCTGGAGTGTTTCCCCAGGGTTTTATTCTAGTGGTTTCTATGCTTTAGGTCTTAGGTTTAACTGTTTAGTTCATTTTGATATAGTTTTTCTATGTGGTGAGAGATAGGGGTTTACTTTCATACTTCATATAGTTATCCAGTTTTCCCAGCATATTTACTGAAGAGACTGTTCTTTCCCCAGTAGGTGTTTTTGGTGCCTTTGTATAAACAGAATCAGTTGGCTGTAAACACATAGATTTATTTCAGGTTTCTCTATTCTGCTCTCTATTTTGTTCCCTTGGTCTAACTGTCCATTTTTATGCCAGTTATCTGGGTTACTATAGTTTTGTAGTATATTTTGAAATCTGGTAGTGTGAAGCTTCCAGTTTTGTTATTTTTGCTCAGGATTGCTTTGGCTATTTGGTGTGTTTTGTGATTCCATGCAAATTTTAGGATTTTTTTTTCTATTTTTGTGAAGAATATCTTTGGTGTTTTGATAGGGACTGCATTAAGTCTGATAGGGATTGAGTAGTATTGCCATTTTAACAATATTAATTCTTCCAATCCATGAGTATAGGATTTTTTTTCATTTGTTTGTGTCCTCATCAATTTCTTTCATCAGTGTTTTATAGTTTTCATTGAAGAGGTCTTTCACCGCCCTAGTTAAATTTATTTCTAGGTGTTTAGTTTTTTTGTGGCTGTTGTAAATGGGATTACTTTCTTGATTTCTTTTTCAGTGAGTTGGTTGTTGAGGTATAGAAACCGTATTGATTTGGTTTTACTCATTTTGTATCCTGAGACTTTACTAAATTTAATTATCAATTCCCTTTTGTGGTGGAGTCTTTAGGTTTTTCTATAGATAAGGTCATGTCATCTATAAACAGGGACAATTTGACTTCCTTCTTTCCCATTAGGATGCCCTTTATTTATCTTTATTCAAATTGCTTTTTCTAGGACGTTCAGTATTATGTTGAGTAAGAGTGGTAAGAGTAAGTATCCTTGTCTTGTTCCAGTTCTTAGAAGAAAAACTTTCAGCTCTTCCTGTTAAATATAATGTTAACTATGGCTTTGTCATATATAATCTTTATTGTGTTGATATGCATTCCTTCTATACCTAACTTAGCTTCTTTCAGTTGGACTGAGAAGCTTCCAGTTCCTTTTATATTTCCAAATGCTGTCCATTTCGAATGAAAATGTCCCAGCTCCAAGCCTCATCCAAGTGATGTCAACCTCATCAGGAAGGCAATTCCTATCAAGGGCAAGAGAGGAAATAAATTTTATTATTCATTATGTAAATAATCAATTTGGTTTATGTGTATTAATCAGAATCTTCCTGTACTTTAAATGTGTTTGCGTGTATAAGTAATTCTTTTTATTCTACACTTTAAACTTTAACAAAAACTCTTTCAACATAGGGAGCTTTCAGACATAAAGTCTTGGAAGAGGGTGAGTTGTAGGAGAAATAACTTTTTTTGGTAGAGTCAACAAAACCCAGAAACTAACAGTTGTTTATTTTCATTTCAAGCACAGAACTGGGTAAGTGGCATTCATTCCAAGTTTCTACTTTAAACACTAATTTTAGTTCAATAGTGAATTCAAAGAGGTGAGGTCTCAGGAAACTGTTAACTTCAGTTGCTGGGGAGCTACTATATAGACTCAGGAACTTAGTTTCTAAAGATTAAGCTAAGGAGATTGGGAACTTGACCTTGCTTCCACAATTGATGCACCAGTGTGCCCCGGAATGACCGGGCTTTCCTTGCCCAGGAGATCTGTGTCTCAGTTCACCACCTTTTGAAGATCACCATGTGATTATAAAAGATCACCACGTGATTATAAAAGTGGAGTTCTTTTCATTGTGGTTTGTGAATTTTAACTACATTGTTTCCTAGAGGATATATTGGGTTAAGATAAGTTATTCACGCCGGGCGCGGTGGCTCAAGCCTGTAATTCCAGCACTTTGGGAGGCCGAGGCGGGTGGATCACGAGGTCAAGAGATCGAGACCATCCTGGTCAACATGGTGAAACCCCGTCTCTACTAAAAATACAAAAAATTAGCTGGGCGTGGTGGTGCGTGCCTGTAATCCCAGCTACTCAGGAGGCTGAGGCAGGAGAATTGCCTGAACCCAGGAGGCGGAGGTTGCGGTGAGCCGAGATCGCGCCATTGCACTCCAACCTGGGTAACAAGAGCGAAACTCCGTCTCAAAAAAAAAAAAAAAAAAAAATAAGTTATTCACAAAGGTCAACACAATCAACATTTTATTTTGACAGAAGTTGTTTTTTTTTTTTTTCAATGAATTTGAATGAAATATGTTAGTTGGGTGATAGCAAATGCTGATTCCTACATTTACAGTCCTTCCAATGCATTGGAAGGGAACATATGTCTTTATTACATTTTAACAGTATATAATGTAAAATGTATTATTATTAATCCTGGATCAGAAATCTAAGCACTAGGGATGATATTGTATCTGTTCCATGAATAAATAAGACACAGATTTACATGCTTATGTGGTGATGATAGACATATAAACAGATAATTACAATATAATGTGATAAATTCAATATGCTGTAGCAGAACTTAATTCAATAAGGGGATGTCGAGGAAAGCTTTCTAGACAATGGCCCGAGCTGAGTGGATAACAGCCAATTTCACACAGCTCTGTTCTATTTACTTACCTGGTTTTCCCCAGCCAGATTTCACTCTCTAGTTCACTGATCCCATTTCCCATGAATCATAGTCCTTCTAACCAGATACAGGGACAAATAACTCGATTTTTTAATGTGTGTAACACAAGTAGTACATCCCACTGCCTTAGATACAATATTTTTGATGAAGATAAGGTGCTTGCTTGCTTCAGAAATGAGTCAGGTAATCACTGCAAAGACTTTAATCTTTGAGCCTGTGCTTATTAAATAGTCTCCCTAGTGCTCTAGTAATTGAAAGAAAGTTATATCCTTAATGAGAATTTGTCTAGACTGGTGCATGGTAACTGAAGGAAAACTTAGTGAGTTTAAAATGATGTGTGTTTGCTGCAGTAGAAAGTAATTTAGGAGTCAATTTATTAAAAAACCACTGTAGTCTCTCAAGATTATTTATGCAGATAGGGCACAAAATGCAATTCCCTTCAGATTCTAGTAAATTATATGAGGCCTATTTCATTAGCCTTTCCTTTTTTATATTAAACATTTTCATTTCCTACCATTTATTACATGCATAATGAATGTAAATAAAAAGTACCT